AGCAGTTGTGTGGGCATCGCCCGCCCCAACTGATGTGGCAATGAAGTGGGAAAATTGGCGACCCAGCAGCAAAGCAGACGAAAGAGAGCCGGTCACGTATGTAGGTGGTAGATGTATGTATGTATGTGTGTGTGTACGTAAGTGTACTTTGACTGAAACGTTGGATGAAAGCAGAGGTCAAAAAGTCAAAAACATGTGCAAAATAACTCACACACACACACACACACATGTACGAGTACGTGGGCACACACTTATATATGTATGTACTAATGTACATATGTATGTATGTACATGCGGTGTGACTACATCTGTAAAAGCTAAGTAAGTACATAATTCCATTTATTCATGACAGTGGTTCCAATTTCATTTGCTTGTGGCAACATTGACATGCATATATTATATTTATGTAAATTCAGCAGCACCAAACAGGGATGTGAGTGAGTCAGTGTGTGACATAGACTCATGGAGCATTGCAACATCGCCACTCACTCGTGCACTTGCTCGTCGTTCAAGTGTCATTAGCTGTAGTTGGAAATTGGAATATGGAATTGACCAACTGCGCCAGATTTTCGCAATGCCAAGTGAGAAATTGTGCAATGTGAAATTGCTAAAATAGAAACGAAAAAACTATGCTAACCAACAACAGCCCAGCTGGAGCAGAGGAGAGTGAGCAGCGGGTGGGGCGAGCTGTTGCGGGGTCACCAGCGTGAACTGGCACAAATAAGCGCAATCACCGAAAGCTGAATGTGTGAAATAGCATAAAAAAATGAAATCAAGAGCAGTCAGCAAGTGGCAAGTGGCATGTTGGTACATACATATGTATGCAAGTAAAACTGCCACTTTACGATGAATCGTGCGGCCGGGGCAGTCAGTCAGTCACTGAGTCAGCCAACCAACAGGCCATTACTGCCGAACGATTGCATCGGCCCAGTCATTTAAGACAGTCACTCAACATTTTTTATGCGATTTATTTGTTGCCACATGGTTGCCAACACCAATTGAACGTATTGTGCATACACAGAAGGAAATGACAAACAAATACAAAAAAAAAATGAAAAATGAAATAAATAAAATAAAGGGCACATGCTGCATGAAAAAATTGGAAATTGCGAAAGTAAGAATGTCATACAGCACCGAAGGGAGCGAACGATGCTAAATGGCAAGTTCGTTTCGGTTTAAAAAAAAAAAAAAAAACAATAAAAAACCCAAAAAAACCGACAAAATAAATGAACTGCAACAAATTATTGATAAAACATGGACGCATATGCTCGTAACTCGAAATGTGGCAAGCGGCATGTGGCATGTGGCATGTGCCGCAAACAATTGCTCTGCTGCAATAATGTAGATTTATTAGCTCGATAGCTTTGATTCCATTCGAATACACTGTTTCTGTGTATTTGTTTTTTTTTTTTGTTTGATTGTCTGTCTGTTGCGTTTGGATATACAATTCGTGCCATGTTGCAAGCCATTTACCAAAATTTTGCAAACTCACAGTTGCCTTGAACTTTACCAATGATGGGTTGTGCCACCTTCTATGTGTTCTGTACCAACCGAATTGATTGCACAACGGTGGCCTAGCTGCATACATATAGTATGCGCTGAGGGAAATTTTTGTCGTTTATAGTACTTATTAGGCTGGGCTGAAAATCCAATTTTTTCATAAATTTTATTGTTAATAGCAAAATTATTGTTCATCATACTCTAAAAAAATCCATGCGGGAGATAAAAATTTCTGGTCATTACCTTAGGCTCGCCCAAGTCAATCAAAGTTCAAAAAGTTAAAAAAATTGTGAATGATCGAAAATTAAATTCTCTATAAAAAAGATTCGTATACAAAATTATGCAGGGCTTATGGATTCGAAGATAAATTCAATTATAATAAACAATTTGCATGTTTTGCAAATTTAATAAAAATATTTATTTCCAAAAAAAAGTTACCTTTATGAAATTATTTGCGATTAATAGTTTCTCAGATAATTGCGATTTTTGTTAGAAAGTCGGTATTTCTGTCCATGAAAGAAATATGTATGATTGAAAAATAATTAATAAATTACTAATTATCTACGAAATTGAATTCCTCACAGAAAGGTAATTTTTACAAAAAAAGCGCACTTAAGTATAACGGGGATATTAACTGCCGATAAATGTGATAAAATTATAAATTCTTTACCCCTATTATGTTTCTTTTTAAATTTTTGGTAAAATCAAATTTCAAGTCTTATCATTTAAACTCTAATATATAAGTAATGACTGCAGACTTAAAAAAGTTATTTTGCTAATAAAAGTTATTTTAATATGGAATTAAATTTGCGATCGAAGTAAATTGGAAAACAAAAATTTTGAATACTTTGAACTTTGATTGACTTGGGCGCAAAGATTTTTTTAAAGCATAATGAACCATATTTTTGTTACTGACCATAAAAATTCTAAGAAATTCGATTTTCGCCCCACCCTAGTACTTATGTACATATTTATGTCCAAGTATGTCAGCATAATGCTATTAAATCACAGCGGGCAATTAAAATCAGTCATATTTATATTTTCATGTTTTCGTATGTAATTAAGAGTTCTAATAAAGTGTGTTAAATAAATATGCGGAATAATTTTAATGGAGTGTAAGAGGCCACATAATAGATAATTTCACGAATAGTATCGAATAAAATTTAAGGAAATAATTTTGAATTCACAAGCCAGTTACGCATACAATTTTTTACACAATTTTATAATCTTTTATCAAATGAAAAAAAAACTAAAAATTAAGTAGAAAATCGGCACCATAATCCGAAACATTTACAACTGAAATTCCTCTTAGATTTATATCCTCATGGCTTGAAGAGTGGTAAGAGCAGCGCACAGTGGTCTGGGAGTGGCAACTGAGTAGTTGGTTCGACTCTAGCCATGCGTTTTAATGCGATGTATGGCTTTTTTATTGGATTTCAAGATCAATAGTATACAAAGATTGCTCCAGAAGGGTTTTTTAAACATTTTTCCTAGTCCTCTCAGATTTGAGAACAATTGCGTGTAGGTATATGATTTAAAACATTTTAAATCACTTTATGCAGAGTGGAACTATTTTGCGTCAGCCTGTGCCAACGAGTTAATAGGATTACAACGTTCATTTAACCCTGGGTAAACTATTGAAATAAGTTCCAGCTGCCAAAAACATGCTAGCCCTGTGTTTATCTTTCATAGACTGGATGGTGCATATTGACAGGTCCCGATTAGGGGTGTTAAACCCGGGATTCCGGGATTGTATAAACGAGATCCCGAGATCCGAATCTAAAAAATTAACATTCCTAGTCTCCATACAAGTGGTGGCAAAAAGTAGTAAACGAGATCCTAATAAATTTCGGTAAAATGGTGCAGGAAGTCAATTTGAACTCCGCTTCTGGCGTTGAGCAATTCAACTCGTAAGAGAACCCTAGACGATGGCAAGTCTAGGTCAAGAGCTGCTATAAAAATTGCCAAAAATAGGTCAATGACGCTGTTGACAAAGAAGCCTCAACACGTTCATATGGAAGCAATGAAATCCTCCTACAGCAGGCTGGTGAGTAGTAGGTTTCATGACGACTTACACCACCTACAAAGGAAGCAATTGACACAGCTTTAGGAAGCGATCGTAGACGTCACGAGTGGGCAATTGGGCGCTGACGTAAAGCTGTAGTGCGAGAGAAGCATCCCCGAGCTGGGTGGTTTTGGCCTTAAGTACACGACGACTAGACTAGTATGCGAAGTTTTGTGTATATTCGAATTCCTATTACTTCTTCAGGTAGTTGACTCAGATGTTTAAGTATAAGTGCATGTAAATATGTACATAAGTTTACAGGGTGACAATAAAATAACGTGTACGAACGTTTTTATCATACATTTTTTAAACGGAAACCATTCATAAAAAAAAGAATAAATAACAGCAGATACAGAAGTCCAAACGTAATTTAACACATTTCGACGATGGGCCGCAAGTTTCATAAAGTCAATTGGTCCCATTATCGACGCAGGGTTTGCTTCAGTGCCTCGAAACTTTTGTTTCCCTTGGCACATCCTCTATCCTCCAAAACTGACCAAACAGTTTAGTCAATTGGGTTAAGATCCGGCGTGTAGAGTGGTCATCCCGCAGATGAGATTAAGTCTGGAAAATGTGTTCTGCACCACTTCTGCGTGATTCTCGATACGCACTCGAGAATGTCACGGCGGTCACAGCGGTTGATCTCGACTTCTTGATCCACGAAAACCAGGGGAGTCTTGCCGCTGACGCTAATCTCGCCCTAGACCATAACCGGCTGTGTATTTTAACGGCTGAGGTACCAGGAGTCTGAACTATTTAGCTCCTGTCGTTTAGATGGTTGTTGCGCCTGTTCCACGATGAACAGCTTCTCGTCGGTAAGGAGAATGTGCTCCCATCATTGACTTGCGGCCCGAAACTTAAGAGCTCGACATCTTTGGAGTCACAAGCGCTTGTTTTAGTCCGTGAGGAGCTAAACTTTTTGGAGCTTGTATTTTTTGAGGTTTGCCGACACTGTCACATAACAAATAATTATTATGAAGCTGAAAAAAAACCTATATACATACATACCAAAAACTAAAAGCAAAGCTAATATGCCTCATTTGTGGCAGCGCATGCTAAACTTTGTAGCGGTTATTTATTGTCACCCTGTATGGTATTTATGTTTGAATTTATGTTTAATTATGCAAATGAAAGTGTTCTTTACTTTTCACAGTGATTTTCATGCTATGCGCTGGTTTTATTTTTTTGTACATTAAGCTTTACACTTTTTTTTTTTCAAGTACGCAAATTTGATTATTTTTTGCCAAAAGCATTCCAATTTTTATACACACATACATACATCCTTGTACTTATGCAAACAAACAAAAGCAACAAAAGCAAGCACAAAATTAACTTCATTCTTTCATTTCATGTTTATTTGGTTATTTTGCTACTTAAACTGAACTTTTCAGACATTGTTTTTTTCTTAGTGTTTTTTTTTTTTATATTCGCTTACCTTGATCCAACAATAATTGCTTGTCGCCCATTGGTTGCTGTTAGCAAATCATCTGTGTCCTGAGCGCTGCCATTCGTTGTGCCCACCACCTGACCGATGGCGCGTTTCACCGATTCAAATACCGAATGTGGCCCAGTCGGTTCTGTGGTGGATTGATAGATGGCACCACCGCTGCCATCATGGCCATTGGTGCCGGCGCTATCGAGCGCTGTATAGCCGCCTTCTGCTTGCGGCATACTTATGTATTCAAGCCAAATACACACAACACTTACAACAAAACGGTAAACTGTACAATGATGCTTCTTCTTAACTTCTTCAGTTACTTCTTCTGATACTTCGTTCTTCTTCTTATTGCGGTGGAATGGCGGTGGAATGTAGTTGTTGTTATTACACTGGTGCTTTGTGAATGTCTAATGAGTGGTGGTAGTTGTAATGGTTGGTTGGTGTGGTGTGTAGGTAGCACGTAAGTGGCGTTGAAAGGCGGAGGCGGAGGCGATGGCGCTTGGGCTTGAGCTTGAGTTTTCTTTTCTTTTTGTTTTTGTTTTACATGTTTATTGTTTTTAGAATTTGTTTTTTACAAAATGCAATTATACGGCAATCAGGCATACAGGCAGGCAATCCAAGAGGCAGGCAGTAAGTAGTGCATTTTTTTTTTTTAATATTCGGCAATGCATTTTTATTTTTTATTTTTACAATTGTTTTTTTATAAATTTTTTATTTGCAGATTTGTATTTAATGCATAGCGCGTGTTGTGAGTGCATATTATTTTTATATTTTCGTATATTTGACAGCGTCAGCGAGCGCAAATGACAGTTTATCAATACGACAGACATTCGAGTTCGTACGAAATAAATCGAAAAATAAACAGAAAGTAAAAAGGAAAAATTATTATAAAAAAATTAAGTATTAATTGAATAACCAAAAATTTCATTTCAAATGAAATGAGATTTGCAGAATCAAAAGTACAAAATGCAAAAAAAAATAAAAAAATAAAAAATATTAAAAAGTGCAAATCTTTGATGAAGAACTTGGAAGTGCTTGTGTAACCGAGATGCGAGTAATGAAAGCGTAGTAGTGTGTGCATTTTAACTACTACCATCGTGTATATACACATACAATATATATACATACATACAGCTGAAATATAATTCTACTTTGCAATAATACAAAATAAAAGCTTTACCACAGACTGCTAAATACGGATAAAATATGATGCTGCTAAATGAATGAGTGGAAGAATGAAACGCAAATTAGTGCTTGAATAAATGCGGCATACGAAATGATGGATGACAGAATTTCAAAAAGGAAGCGGGTTTAAATGATGCAATAAAAGAAGAGGGAATAGCACAATGATAAATAATTGAAAAAGATTTGAGAAAAAGAACGCAAATTCGGGGTAAAGTAAATAAACACGAATTGTTCAGAAATTATGGCAATAAAAAACTTTTAAATTTTTCAATTGAAATGTTCTTAGCGAATTAAGCTTATCAAAGCGTGAGCAGAGAAAATGTTGCGTATACGCCACGCGTTACCAACGTAACAAGAATGATATGAGCTCGATAGTAAATAAATAAGTAGACGCGATTTTTTCTTTTAGCATGCTTGAGGATCTCTAATATTTTCAATATGTTTTTGAGGATCCTTCTGGAGCACAAATTTATATAGAAACTTTGTTAGTCAGCCACGTTTTCTTGATCATTTTCATGAATAGACAAAAGTAATGTACAAGCGGTAGGTTCTTAACAAATAAAAAAAAAATCCGACATTTTTGTATACGAAATACGAACTTCGTATATTATACCATGCGACAACCCAAATCATTTATGAGAAAATCATTATAGGTATGTATGCGCGAAACTAGAGCTCAAATATAAAATGAAATTGCATTTTTAGTTTTTTTTTTTCACAGAACGTGTAAATTTTTTTTAAGGTCCTTAAAGTTTCAACAAGGATAGTGGTTCCAAAAAAATCGTATAAATCTAAAATTGTATAAGGTATGGAAATAAAGGTATGAAATGAAAGAGGACAGTGCACACAATCTTAGGAATTTTCTTAATAGTTATCCTGTGTTCGAACGCCTCAAAAATGTGCTTTAAAGTTTTTATCCTTGAATATTATTGACGATTTTCATTCAAATCAAAATATAATATATGGAATACGCTAACACCTATCCTCTACGTTCATTCTATAGGTTATATTGGGCATAAGCATAGTTCCTACAAGTATCAGCGTGTTTTAAATAAAAATTTTTTAATCGATACATGCGCGAAACCACAGTTCAAATATGGAAAATCAAGAGATGAGTTTTTAGAAGGCTAAAAGATGTTAGATTAAATGGAAAAAATTAAGAAAAAACTCTTTTATTACAAGTAATTTTTAAGCAAAAAAACCCAACTTCAATGCTTGTGTATGTATGTATAATAAAGATAAATTTATCGGAACTAAATCAAATTAGTATCGGACCACCTCCAAGGTATCCCCCTTCCAATAAAAACAAGATTCGAAGAATTCGGTTCACATCGTCAAAAGCTATACCCAACAAGTACAAGGATTACCGCTAGTTTTTTAATTGTTCACACGATCGGCACTAAACCAAATTAGTATGGTACCACATTTCCGTTAAAAAAAAATATCAAAAACGGTTCACGTAGTGAAAATACATATAAAAAAAAATAAAAAATATTCTTCCTTTTTTGAAGTCCCTTAAAACTATTTATAAATATTTTCCTAAAAACCGAATCCGTTTGCTCTAAAGTTTCTGGTATTCCGCAGTATCCCCACATGTAAACCAGTAATAACTTGCCAGAATATAAATATAGTTTTGACCACAAAAACGAGGTCTCCATTGCTGCTATATCTTCACGGAAAATCCACCCATATTCATCACTAAAATCACTTAAGTTTTCTGAAGGAAATCGAGAAAATGTTGCCTGTAATTAATTAAATAAAGGCGGAAAGACGTGAATGCGAATAAGCCAAGTCTTGGAAAATACCAGCGAGAAAAGGATTGACTCTCGCCAACTATTTGTCGACTTTAAAGCCGCTTTCGACAGTGCAAAAAGAAGTTGCCCCTATGCCGCGACGTCTGAATTTGTCACCCCCGGGAAACTAACATTGCAGAAAGCCTATGCCTTAGTCTGGCAACTAGTTTCGACTTTGGTCGGGGTATCATAAGAAACTAATAGTTAAATATGTATGTATATATGTACATATGTATATAAGCCAAAAAAAAAACAGAAAAAGTTTTGATTTGTAATATCTTCCTTAAGAGAATTTTAGTGAAGAAATTCAGTTTCGACTTTGGTCGGGGTATCATAAGAAATTAATAGTTTCATATGTATGTATGTATATACCCTGCAAACCATTTTTTCAGAGTATTCTGCATTATAAAGAAATTTTAAAGAATTCGTTAAGATTTAATTCGATTTTTTGCCGAATTTTCTAAAATGAAAAAAATTACGCACACTTCCATTCTTTTACGAAATTTCGGAAGAAAATCTGTGAAGCAACGAAAATAATGCTGCTATGTGAAGAATATCTTTCAGAATTTTTCCAGAATTTTCTTTATTTTTCGTACAGAAATTTCTTTACGAGTTCGTGTCAACCACTTCATATAATTTTCTTTGAAAATTCGTAAAAAAATCGTTACAGAAATGAGATACTCCTAACGATTTCCTTAAGATTTCGGGAACTTTGGTTTGCAGGGTATGTACATATGTATATAAGCAAAAAAAACAGAAAAAGTTTTGATTTGAAATATCTTCCTTAAGAGAATTTTAGTGAAGAGATTCAGTTATTACAAAATTGTATTTAGTTTGTTTCCACATGGAATTTTTTAATGATAGAAACTTTTTGTCATTTCAGTACCTAGTGGAAATTCGGAACTAATTTTATTATTTTGTTTAATCTTGTTAGATGTTTTCTACGCCTGCCAAGCAAGGTGCGATGGCAGTCTGAAAACAACTTTTTCTATTGTTTGGCTATTTTGCTGAACCTGGGGGCGATCTGAGGATATGTAATAAGCAGCTGTAAACAATCGGCGTCAATTAGCATAGAGCTAAAAAAATATCAGTTGAAAATGTATTTGACAACAAATGTTAAAGTTCAAAAATAATTTATGGCGACGAAGCAAAATCTTCGTTAAGAGAAAGCGGTTTCTATTTCGCAACTAAATTTTAGGGTTGTAAAAATAGGTTTGTAAAAATACACGCAAAACAAAGTACATTAATTTTAAGCAGAACTACCGAAATATGTCACAAAGCACTTGGCCCATACAAAAAATAAAATAAAATTACGAAAAAGCAAAACATTTCAATTGCCATACGCCAATCTAATAAATAGATTTGCCATTGGCAAATGGTTTTGCTGAAAATCAAAAATCGAAAACAGACATTTTCAATAATAGAAAAACCCTAATTTTCTTCTTTTGTAACTTTAATAATTAGTGTTTTAACTGTACATATGTACATGCATATATGAATGAGTACATATATACATATGTATGTATGTATCTTATATGCGCTGTTGACACGACCAAACAGAGCGAACTTTTTAAATTAAATAAACTCATAGCAAATATTTATAATAGGTTTATCTTATCATCATGCCCTGCAGATACTGATAAAAGCGACGGATTTGAAATTACAGATATTCATATATGTTTCTTAGAGGGCTGCATGAATTCATTCGAACTTCTAGCCAAGCAGAGTACAGTAGATTTGAATATTTTACTTCACATACAAAACACTCAGCGTTTGGAATTTTGTAAGTTATGAATATGTATACATTTTGTTTTAAATTTTCTACCTTCAAATGGAAGAATGTGAATGAAGGAATGGAAAGCATTCAAATCATTCAAACTCATTTCGATAAAAATTTATTCTACAAACAAGTTTGTTTGTATTGTAATATGAACGCAGCAATACATACATACATATACAGAAAAAATATTTTTGGATATTCATAAAAAAAAATTTTATTTATTTTAATTCAATTTATTTTCACTTTGTTTGAATATTGTAATGTCGACACATATATTAGAATAAGTATTCACTCAAATTCAAAAAAATTATGAATAATTCATAAGCCGTTTTGAATGAATTCATACAGCCCTCTAATGTTTATACACTATATGTATATGGCTCGTCATTCATTGTGTTTGCTGTTTTATGAATTATATCAAACGCTACATGTGTACATACCTATCTTTGAGGAGATGTATAAAGGCCCCAACTGAATTTTTTTCTTTTTTTTTAGCAGGAGAAGCAAAAAACCTCCAGCACATAAGATTCAGTGTGTAACGCTTCTTCAAAAGTGACATACAATCGTTGGGTTTTAAGGTAGGGCTCTAAAATTTTTCAAGGAAGCTGTGTTTTAGTATAAGCTTTAATAGCTTAACCCGAACCCGTATTTCGAAAAAAATCATCAACGATAAATTTGTGTACATTTTTATGTATGTAGGTGTAAACAGAATTTACTTTGAGACTTACAAACGGTGCGAAACCATTGAAATATGTGTATATATGTAC